AGAGAGCCCACATAGCCAAGACAATCCTAAGCAAAAAGAACAAAGCCAGAGGCATGAAGCTACCTGATTTCAAACCATACAAAGCTACAGTAATCAAAACAGCATGATACTGGTACCAAAACAAAGATATAGACCAATGGAACAGAACAGAGGCCTTGGAGGCAATACCACACATCTACAGCTATCTGTTCTTTGACAAACTTGAAAAAAACAAGCAATGGGGAAAGGATTCCCTGTTTACTAAATGGTGTTGGGAAAACTGGCTAGCCATGTGCAGAAAGCAGAAACTGGACCCCTTCCTGACATCTTCCACTAAAATTAACTCCAGATGGATTAAAGATTTAAACATAAGACCTAACATCATAAAAACCTTAGAAGAAAACCTAGGCAAAACCATTCAGGACATAGGCATAGGCAAGGACCTCATGACTAAAACACCAAAAGAATTGTCAACAAAAGACAAAATAGACAAATGGGACCTAATTTAACTCTAGAGCTTCTGTACAGTAAAAGAAACAATCATCAGAATGAACCGGCAACCAATAGAATGGGAAAAAATTTTTGCAATCTACCCATCTGACAAAGGGCTGATATCCAGAATCTACAAAGAACTACAAGAGATTTACAAGAAACAAACAAACAAACCCATTCAAAAGTGGGAGGAGGATATGAACAGACACTTTTCAAAAGAAGACATATATGAGGCTAACAAACATGAAAAAAATGCTCATCATCATTGGTCATTAGAGAAATGCAAATCAAAACTACATTGAGATACCACCTCATGCCAGTTAGAATGGCAATCATTAAAAAATCAGGAGATAACAGATGCTGGAGAGGATGTGGAGAAATAGGAACAATTTTACACCATTTGGGAGTGTAAACTAGTTCAACCATTGTGGAAGACAGTGTGGTGATTCCTCAAGGACCTAGAAATAGAAATTCCATTTGACCCAGCAATTCCATTACTGGGTATATACCCAAAGGATTATAAATCATTCTATTATAAAGACACATGCACACGTATGTTCGTAGTGGCACTGTTTACAATAGCAAAGACCTGGAACCAACCCAAATGTCCATCGATGATAGACTGGACAAGGAAAATGTGGCACATATACACCATGAAATACTATGCAGCCTTAAAAACCGATGAGTTTGTGTCCTTTTTAGGGACATGGATGAATCTGGAAACCATCATTCTCGGCAAACTGACACAAGAACAGAAAATCAAACACCACATGTTCTCACTCATAGGTGGGTGTTGAACAATGAGAACACATGGACACCAGGAGGGGAATATCACACACTGGGGTCTGTTGGGGGGACCAAGTGTGGGACACAGGAGGTGTGGGGAGGCTAGAGATGGATAACATGGGGAGAAATGCCAGATGTAAGTGACAGGGGGATGGATACAGCAAACCGCATTGCCATGTGTACCTATGCAACAATCCTGCATGATCTGCACATGTACCCCAGGACCTAAAGTACAATAAAAGAAAGAAAGAAAGAAAGAAAGAAATCTTAAAAAAAAAATTAAAAAGACAGCAACAGATTGCTGAGCTGCTTTTCCTGGGTAGGGGGAGAGAAGCAGGAGGCTGAAGTGTGTGGTACAATGGAGAAGGAAGTGTTGATATCTTACTTTCTTTTGTGCTCATTATAAAATTAGTGTTAAGAATTTAAATTATTTATTGTAGAAAAATTACCAAAAATTTTTCTACAATAAATAATTGTAGAAAAGGTTGTTATTAGGAAACAAAAAGGGAAATGGCCAGTGACTTTGCAAAAAAGGAATAGTTATTCATAAATTAAACACATAAAATTCATAGCAAAATAAGATAGGTTTTCCAATCAGACTGGTAAATACTAAAACATATTATTATATGCAGAACTTACCAGTGTTTGGGAAGAGCAGCATTCTGACATCTGAAATGAAAATATAAGTTGCTACAGCATTTTTAGAGGGGGATTTGATAAGCGCTATTAAAACTAAAATCTTGTATTCTTTTTGATTAAGACAATTCTGCAAGGGATTTATCCTATCGATCCTCTTTATAGAGCCCACCAATATATTTATACGAGGACTTCCATTCTGTATAAATATTAGCATTGTAATTTAAAACACATAGTAATCTCAGTGCCTTCAGTGGATAATATATTGTGGTACATTCACATAATACAATATTTTCAACCTTTGAAAACAAAATGTGCTAATTTGGATTGATATCTCAGACATATCATTAAATGGAAAGAGAAAATTTCAGAGCATTGTATATTACTAAGATATAATCATTTTTGAGAATTTAAATATATATATAAATATGTATGTGTAGGTAGGTTTGTATTTTAGTTAGTTGATATAGAAATGCTAATGCTAAACAATAAGGTAATATGCCTGTGTTGTGTCAAAAATAAAATTTGAAAAATTCCCAAATTGGGAACAAGTACGTTGTTGCTCTAACTACAACTCATCAAATTTTTAAAGACAAGTACACAAGCAAAAGTATCTATTCTCTTGAAGACATTAAAGCTCAATAAAACAAATATCAAGTGGTGATCAATATAAAAATATATGCAATAAAATGAAATGTAAAAATCAAGTCAATTACCAATTCAAATTTGCTGTGGCCAAATGCAGATTCTTGTTTCTACCCTAAATTTTCCCCTTTTAAATCTTTCTCTTAATAAAAGTTGTCACTATCCTCACATGGTTCAGACTTAAAAAGGAATCATTTTTCATAGGCTATGTAGGTTTTAGAGACTTAAGGCAAGACCCTAATAGATAACTGCCAAACCCTATTTCAATTATCAGTTTTTGTTTGTTATAGTATCTGACTGAGCCAGTACCTCCATGTTACTCCTAATTTTCAAAAATATTCTCAATGCCTTAATCTTCCCATATATAATTTAGAGTCAACCCCTCGATAGCTTTATTGAGATATTAATAAAGTAGAGATTAGCTCAGGAAGAATTATAAAGATAGGCCTTCATATTCTTGTACAGGACATTCTATCCATTTAGGAAGGAACTTTTTAAAATTTCCTTTCTATTTTCATGGAAAAACTAAAAGCATCATGACTAAACCTTGTATAGTGGAGGCACAGAACTATATAATAATCTTGGAATTATACATAGGGCCCCATGTAATCTACCACCCCAATCAAAACACTGTTGAAAGTGAAGAAGCACTATTAACACACTATTAACAATTTACAAAAATATGGCTAAACAAGGCCTAGAACAGGCCAAAAATTTTTTGCTATGTGACAGTTGTTTTGAATTTACCTAGAATTTATTTGCGTACTTGGAGGGAGAGGAAAAAGGGTATTGAAGGGAAGTAATTGTATTCTATGACTTTATTTCAGATAACTTTGTTGTAAGGGTGTTTGATATAGGAGGTAACAGTTACTTGCCAAGTAAAAAACATGCAATACTCTTCTGTGAAAAAGAGGCACAACTGGGAATTTTGCAGTTGAGAAAAACAGGGCACAAATATACTTATTTAACAAAGAAGTTTGAAAAGAATTAAAACCAAAGTTTTCTCTCCAAGGCCAGTGATTTGAGCACATCAAGGCATCCACTGTAGTTCGTACCATTAATAATCTCAGTGATCCTTGACAAATTGCGTTAAATGGCTAACTTCTTTACAACTACAAGAAACAAGACTTGAACTAATTGACCTTTAACAATTTTGCTAGCTCCGAACACTTACCATCATATAGAGTTCTAAGTGTAATGACTTAGGTTCAGTAGATTAATATTTATTAATAATAACAAGCAAAGTGATTTGTCATAGCTCTTCTCAGCCCATTAACATGTTTATATGATAATGTTATTTGCCCTTTGAATGCTTGGTAAATAATACTTGAAAATCATGATACCTTACTTATCACTATGATTTAGATTTTTTCACCTTATGCTTTCTTTTTCAATTTATGTATGTATATAAAATATTCAAAGAAATGCATATGGATATATTATATAATGTATAATTATATTAAAATGATCTCATAGTTTATATTACTAACACTAGTGCCTAGATATAGAGAGGACCAAAGAAATGATTTAATAAATTAGGTTTTGAACAGATGTGTGGGTGTTTCTGTGTATATCTGTATTTGAAAGGAAGAAAAAAGTGAAAAATCCTTGTCTCTAACTCCGGAAAAATATTCCCACTTTTGTTGATAGCCAACCTGGTTCTCAATATTAAACCTAAAAATATTTCAAATACATTTTATTTACATAAATTGCAGACTATTTCACAATGATCTTTACTTACAAGAAAACTATGTAAAAAACTACTACTAAAATATATTGGATAACTTTGAAATTACTATGGGAAAATCTCATCAAAATTTGCAAATTCATTAAAATCTGTATTTAAAAAACTAAAATAATGAATGCATGAATTATGTTCATGTATTCAAGAGTACATATATTTTAAAGTTCAAAATATTATAGATTTAAAGAACAATATAAGAATACCTGGTATTCCTTACAGCTAGATCTTAAATAATTGCATTGAGTGACAAACTGCATTTGAATAATCTATTAGGTATATCTATATCTATATCTGTATGTATACATAGGTTGTTGTAAAAGTAATTGCAGCTTTTTGTCATTACTTCCAATGACAAAAACCGCAATTACTTTTGCACCAGCGTAATATATGACCCCCCCCACACACACACACACACATTAGTGTAGGCAGAGTTAATGACGTTATCCTAGCTAACAGAGCAGTTAAGTGGCGGAATATGTTTTTGAGACTAGATTTATTCAACACCAAAGTTATTTTCACTCATAATTATGCACAATAATCAAAAGTAATTTTGCCAAGAATAGACACTTTAGGAAAATATTTTTAAAATGTACCCACAACTAACTTCATTAAATAATCCTTTCTGTATTTTTAAATAAATGTGTGATTTAAATACTTAAATATATCACAATAAATTATATGACTAATTGGGTTTTTCATTTTTCTGTTTCAGATGCAGCTGTTCTCTTAGTTACAGTGGCAGATTGTGTGTTGTCAATGTGGGCTATTGCTTAGAAAACCAGAGTATATCAGTGCATGGCCTCTGCCTGGCCCATTTGGACAATTGTAACTGTAGCGATCTGCAAAGATATGAAAGGAACATCTGTGAGATAGATACTGAAGACTGCAAATCTGTGTCCTGCAAAAATGGAACAACCAGTATATATTTAAGGGGATATTTCTTCTGCAAGTGTGTCCCAGGATTTAAAGGCAAGTTTTGCTTATTTTTTCCTGAGAAATTAAATTCTCTAGTAAATAATGTTGTTAAGGTATTTATTTGATATATTTCCAAAGTATCTATTGACTGGTATTGTAGTCTGATTTCTTATTTGGCAAAATTTAAAGCATGTATTCGCTTGAATAATAGGATTGCTTCTTTGAGTAATTTAATCTGACTACATAGCCTTGCTCAGACAAATAAAGACTAATAAGGCCAAGCTGAAGCATTGGGAATATGATGGTGGATGTCAAAGGTCTGAAGAGAAAAACAGGCAGCCATAAGCTCCAAATAATTCTGCCTAAACAGCTTAGTACTGCATTTCAACCTTTTGTTTGGCTGCATAAGCACATGGAGTGACAATTTTTTCTAGTTTAAGAATAAAATTTGGTTTTAGTATTGTCTAGGTCAGTTTGATGCCCTGATGTTAATAACATTTAAGAAAAAATAAAGTCACAAACATACTATATTCACTGTATAGTCATAGAGGACAAGATTCACAGTGCAGTAATAAGGCAGCTTTTAATATTATCAGAAATGAAGCATTCAAGTTTAATTACTTGATATTTTATGCTTAGGCTTACATTGAAATGATTATTTGTGATTTCAAACTTATTATCATTACCTTATAAAAATCAGAACAGTGACCATACAGCAAAAAATTACATTGTCACTTATAAAACAAGTAAATATTTTTTAAAGTTTCGTTTAGTTTGATATTCCATTTTATTAAGCAGACCCAATTCTAAAAGTTATTTGGATTTTCATCTTAACATGAAAAATATTTTCCTTGCATGGTATTTAAAGTAATATGTTGAAGGTTTTGGAAGCAATTTAAAGATAAGTTCCAAAAATGGAAATGGTGATATCATTGGAATAAATGTGTGGCCATCCAGATTAGGTTTTTTTAAGGCAAAATAAATTTGAATGCAGAAATTCTGGTAAGCTTGCTAAAAAGTTGGTCATATTACTTCACATTCAAACATGTTCTAAGTAAAAATAAAATTGCATAAATGTGCTATACCATTTCTTTAACAATCTTCCATATATCACTAAATATACAGTTAAGTAGTAATTATACATATATTAACAAATGAATTTAACTCTGCATAATGTCATTACTGAAAGAAAATGTAATTTGCTATAATTTTTTTGCATGGCTATATATGAATGTGTATTTGCAAACATGATCAATGAATCATCTATTTTATATATCAACTCTATATAGGTTGTACATTATATTATTAAATATGTATTGTGTGCAAACTATTTATATAGTTTTACCACATATATACATAATACTTATTATTGGAACATAATATAAAATTTGTATGGCCAACTTCTCCAGGTGGGATTAAACACTATTATGTTTCTTTTACTTTTCAAGTAAACCCAACACAGGCTTCACAAACCCATATTATCAGCAAGGCCTGTATTTTCTATAATGTCTTTTTCTTCCCACTGAATTATAAAAAATCCTCTAGGTTTCTTCTGTTTAAAATGGTCAGTCCTAATTCTAAACTCTTCACACTGTGAGAAGTAAAGGAATGGATCTGTCTAAACTTTTCTAGGGATGCAGAATTAATCCCCCTAAAAGCAGAATATTTGGGGGGGTCAGTTTAAAACAGATGCTCCTCTCTCTCCACCCCTATTCACTTCCTCTATCTGGTTCCTTCTATTAGTTGTATCTCCCTTCATCTGGAATTTCCACCATCTGATTTCTCCCTTTCCACCTGGTTTCTCTCCCCATCATATGATCCTTCTCCTTCCCTTTCTCCCTTTCCATTTGATTTCTCCTTGCTCTCTCTTTTCCTCCCTCCGTTTGGTTTCTTTCCCTCCACCTCCAAACTCATGTGCTTTCTGAAGGCATTTGTTAACATTTTAAAAACAGTATTACCATGGCTTTTATTTCTATTATAATCACCTATATTTTCCCTGATCCCCATCACTTTTTTGGAAATATTAGTCTTGCAATTAAATTTCCAGAGTAAATGTCAGTCTCAGTCTCTTTATCTCTAGCCTACAGGACCCTAAGCTTTATGTTAATGAGATTCACCTGGAGGTCTTGCTTGTTAAAACACCAATTATTGGCTCCACCTTAGAAGTTTCTCCTTAGGTAGCTCAAGAATTCAGTAGGTCTGGGGTGAAGTTTATGCTGCTGGTCTGCGAACCATTTTAAAAAACTGTTCTAATCCCAGTAAATTATATTAATGAAGAGGAGTCGTATGGATCCTAAGATGTAAAATTCACTTTTGAGTGTGAACTACCATGAAATACAGCATGAGGAAATCAGCTAGTCTAATCTCCTCTGCAGAAAACTGCTAATCTCTGAAGGAAGACGCTGATACATTCATTTGGTAAGGCCATATGCGTGAGTAGATCCTACCTGATTTAAAACTGATTCCAATCAGTGTTCTGAAATTCCCCAAAGATTTTTAACTAGGAATAATTTCAATGAATGTTTTTTTGAGGTTAGAACCTTTTTTGCAATTCTAATGTTATTCATATCTATAATATTTTAGTAACTAATTCAAAATTGATTTTTTTAGTTAATTTTCTTCCCTTGTCTTTTTTAACACTTTCAACACTACTGTTCTGTAAAATTTTTTCATGATCAAAATAAGACTTCTCAACTAGCAGGCTAAATTCTTATATAGGAAAATCTTTGTCTGTATTTCAAATATTCTGAGGTGGCCGTGCTTCTTGACTTAAGTAACCATCTTCTCATCTTACTTTTCTTAAAATTGTCTTGATTACCAGAGGACTCTAGGAAGTTCTCCTTTAACCATTAGGAGGATTCAAGTTCTTATACAACAATAAGCCCAGCCATTTCCTATTTGAGATGAGACTGAGATCAGCCTTATTGGTAGGTTCGCGGGTTTTCATTTAATACGAGGCTTCTGTCCTAAAGCAAACTCCTTTTCTGCTACAGTCTTAAATATTATAAATTTGACTTGCAAAGCTTTATGATTCTATTCTCCAAAATGCCAGCCAGACAACATTCTTCTATTTTTAGGGCTAAGTTACCTTGACAACACAAAAATTTTTAAATTCCAGGATTAATTTTTTTTCCATAGGTCCCTTTCTTTTCCTTTTCTGCTAACGTTTATTTCTGTAGAAGTGTAATAGTATGTTTCAACCATGTTTGCTTTTAAGCTGGAACACAGCTCCCAGTATATAGTGCCAATTATTGATGCCTAATTCTCACTGTTCTATATTCCTTCATGTTATAGTTTCATTTTCCTCAAAACAGTCTCTAAGTACCTAAAGTGCGGAGGGGAAATGGCGGGGGGAACCAGAGAAACTTCTACGTGCCTTCATCCTTCTGGAGAACGCACTGGAGTGATGACGTTGCCCTAGGTTATCTTGTCCACTGAAGAATTGAACTACTTTGTAGTGGGTGTTCAAAACTGACCCAATTAGCTAGATTTTTACCCTTGAGTGCTTCCTTCCACATTCCAGTCTCTCTACTCTGCATAGACATTGAATTAACCTAGCCTTTACAATCACCAATTCTGTTACAATCTCATGGATAGTTTTACAGAAAATAAATGTATAGTGTAGCTCATTTTGTGCTCTGATCTATTAAAAATGCCAATGCACAAATGATTTTATATCTTATACAATGCTTTTATTTTGTATATAATAATTTCTTTTGTAATTTATGACTAAGAGGATAAAGCAGAAGATATTATATAAGCCTGTTGCTGATATTCATGCTTTTCCTCAAAATTCAGTGATATCGTCATCTTCCTTCAGAAAATATTCTATGTTTGTTTTATTTTAGTCACTGAGGCTGTGCCTTAAACTCACTATTTTTTTGTTGGTATCATTTATCCCAGCATATTATGTCTCTTGTGGAGCTGCATGTACATCGCCCTCTTAATAAAAATTCCATTAACCTTTTGTGTCTGCTAAGGGCTTTCAAGACATATTGTAGGATTGTAACCAGGGGAGTGTCCCCAGTTCCCAGTTCTGAAGAGGTTCTTGGCCTCTCTTACCTAGAAGAATGGGGAAAGGGACCCCTGAGGCATGGTGAGCTTACCGTTGGAATAAATACTGTGGACCTAAAGAGTTTTGTGAGAGAATGATTTATTAGAAAGAGAGAAAGAGACAGTTCCCATGCTGTTGTGTGTGGGGGGGGAACCCAGAGAGAGGTAAGGAGCAGCTGAAGTTTTAACCCTTGAGTTATTACCGCCCCATTCATGTTCTCGTCCAATGAGTGGAGTTCTTTTAAACTTCCTCTGGAGTGATTGATCTTTGAATCTGATTCTGGATTGGCTACTTGGTCACAATCCTGTGTTACAGAGTCTCCTCCTCCCGGAGCTTTCCGTGGGATTTTTAGAGGAAGAAGCCATACCTGGCTTTCCCTACCTAGTGGGTAGGTGGGAAACCCAGACAAAGAACTTTACATTTGAAACCCCTCTGGTTCCTGGATGTAGGTGTGGAGCTAGGAAACTGCTGCCTTTGAAACCATGCCCCTTGCGGACTGGAAAGAGAAGTCCTCAGGATCATGTCAAGCTCAATTTCATCACTGCACTACATTCAGCCATTTTGGCTCTTAAGCCACTCTGGTGAAAGTAGAAGCAGAATCCCACTTTTTCTATGTACTGAGAATTTGGCTCCTCATAAAAATGAGCCTCATCTTCTAAGCAACATAACTCTTTTGGTAGACTACTCAAAAATGAGTTACGGGGAAGCTGATCTGTTTCTAGGAGTATGCATCCCTAAATTCCCAGAGGTGAATTCCTAAACCATTTTCCTTTCATTTTTGCCAACTTCCTTACCATTTGTGTTATGGAAGGAACAACCTTCTTTATAAAAGGTTAACAATAGATTTCCCGTATATATGTTTATAACTTCCCTTTTAAAAAATTACACATGAATGTTGACCATCACTGTATATCAACAAGAAAAATATACATCCTCACTTTGAATGGCTTCAACGTATTTATTTAAATGAATGCACCTAACTTGAAGAAAATTGCTAAATAATAAAAATATATATGTGAGTGGTTGTTGATTTTGTACAACTAAATTATCTGTCCTCATTTACACTCCCATGGACAGTATCTAGGAGTACCATTTTGTTTACACATTCACCATGCCAATTATTAATCATTACGGTTTTGACTTTCCTCCACTCTAATGTATCAGATTATATATTATTTGGATATTCTTTTCTTGTAGCAGCAAAAATGATTGAGTACTTACAATCTGAAATTTTTCCATGCTCCTTGCTGTTTTTTTCTTGGGAAGTATAACTTAGTTTCTATAGTTATTTCTAATTTAAAGATACAACTTTTCTTATTATTTCTAGAAAGAATTGTATCTGCAAATAAAGGTAGTTTTTAATTTCTTTTTGTTATTTACTTAATTGACATTATGTTGCTGTTTAATACCATTTGATCAAATTTCCGAGACAAAGTACACTATCAATGGTGAGAGTAAACATCCATTTTTTTGTTGTTGTTGTTTCTGAATTTCAAAGGTCTTTAGTTTTTGTTATCATTAAATGTGGTGTTGCCTTGGTGCTAAGGAGATGAAAAAGAAGATGATATCATTTCTAATTTAAAGCACTTTAAATAGGAATAGAAGGGGAAATAATAGTATAGCAATAGCTCTTTAATACACTGACAATTTACTTTCATCATTTTTAAAGATTTTGCAAATTTTACACACTTACGCACTAACAATTTTGGTCTTTTAGTTATGTTCATTAGAAGTTTTGTTCTCAGCCTTACAATGTTGTGCTAACTTTATACAAACATATGGAAAGTACTTCCGACTCTAAACTCTAAAATATTTTAAATAAAATGGAATAAAACCTATGGTTAGAAAAGTGTTAAAAATTCCTTAGGACTTGCTAAGAATTTGCTAATATATATTACTAGAAATACCATTCACATCTAAAAATATAATTGTCACAGAATAACAATTCAATGATATGTAAAATTCTAGCTGTTCCAATCAAAAACTAATAGAGCTGGAGGAAAAATATAGACATAAAATCAAAATAAATTTTTTCAACTTTTGTATTTTCTCATTATAATACCTGGAGTTTTCTACATATCAATGTTATTTTAAATAACTTATTTTCATAGATTTATTCTCAGGATATTCTCTGCTCTTTATTTAAGACTATAT